TGAATGGACTAGGGAAATGTAGTAGGATTTCCAGTCAGTACTACAGGCTCACATGGGGCAGTGGTCATGACTTTAAATGAAAAATGTTGTAAACCTGTAGTATAAAACAGGGCCAAAGTGCCAAAGTATGTTGAATATACGCCGACAGATGGAAACCACACACCAAATACTGACAATCCTCAATCTCTAGATGATGTAAAAGTAACTCATACAGACCACTTGCCCCAACTAATCGTGGCAGGGCCTGTTTGGTTCTGGTGGCGTATGCTCCCCACTCTTCCTAATCTGTCACCACCTACCCTACAGGAGACCTCCGTATCACCCCAGGCCTCCCACCTATTCCTTTTCCGGAGCTACCACCATGAAAAGTTTGGGAAACCTATTTCTACAATCAGGGCAGAATGCATCTGGGGGTGGAGCGTAAATTACGGTGAGCAGGGAGGAGCACCCCTTGTGCACCCACAGCCACTTTACCATTATTTCCCAGATCCAATGACATAAAACTCTTCCAAATGGCAGAAAAGACTGGGAAGAGCAATAGACAGGTTCTATTGGGCAACATTTAAACAATATAAGTAGGTTCAGAAACCCTGAAGGAAACGGCCCAAAGAAATAAAAAATAAATTTAAAAAATAGATGGACTATCTACTCTAGGTTTAAGATATGAGTAATGCCATATTATAAATTATTTCAAACAGTTTACATTGGTTTGAAATGAAGACCAATTTTTTTTCACCTTAACTCTATAATGTTATTCAGATTTGAAAGAGACCTAGCAGTAAAATTTATTCTACATCAGGTTATCATCAGTAAACATTTCTAAATCTTAGCATTAGGACAATAATATAATTCTTTTTAAGTCCATGTTTTAAACTTGGTATGCCTTCAACAAAACTTGACAAATAGAGCCCACAAATCAAAGATTACATTTTAAATAGTTAACTGCAAAATGGAAGGTGGTCCTCAGTGCTGGTTATCGAGCAATTTTGCCTGATGGTTGTGCTTTTCAAACAAACTCTTAAGGATCTATTAACATAAGGTTACATAAAAACAAAAGAGGACTTAAATACCAGCAAAAGTTGGGAGACAATTATGTTCCAGATGTGGGGTAGAGGCTAAAGACCTAAAGGAAATACAGACACAAAAAGAGCCCTCAAATAATGTAACTGCATTAATTTACATCTGATCTTGTTTCTCTCACCTACAAAAAGATAGGTGAACACTATACACCAAAACTTCTTTTAATTAAATGTGAAGTAAGTGGGTAAAGAAACAAATGAGTATAACCCAGTCTGCAACTAATTAACTAAAAATACTCTTTTCTTGCAGGTTACCGGTGTTAGAGCTCGCCAATGTGAAGAATTGACAGAAAATTCAGTCATTAATGGGACTTAGGAAAAATTCAAATACTGTAATTTAAATCGAAGCCATTCTCTAAATGAAGGTAAATTAGCATTAACACTGAATAAACTAGGCCTTTAGGCATCATTTTCAGATTATCTAACTAAATTAGAGTTCTGGATGTTACTCAAGAAATTATAATGCAAATGGAGCTGGTACAAATAGTTGCAGGCTTTTAGAGTTCCACTGAAGTTCTATGCAAAGATATGTGAGAATTTAATTTCCCCACATCTACTTGCTTTTTATTTCTTACCTACTGTGACTTCTGTAAAACCCAGTGTGTCGAACTCAGCAGTTTCTTTATTCATGGCACTTTCAATTACTTCATTAAATACATCCATTCACTTACATAATTATAAACAATTGGTTTTTCCACATGCACAATTCCTTCTCACCTGTCTCTGATGATCCAGATCTGCTTTATTACCAATTAAAATCATTGGAAATTCATCACGATCCTTTACTCTGAGAATCTGTCTTTGAAACTTATAGATTTCTTCAAAACTAAAAACACAAAAACAAATTAATATATTTGGCCAAGTACCAGCACATCCCATACCCCATTTTGTACTCTATTACTTTTCCTAAAAAAAAACCCAAGAAAATACAAATTCAATAAAATAGTGATCTAGACATGAACAGTAGATCTACATTTTAGTACTGGTACAAACCTGCCTCTATCTGTGACTGAAAAGACCAACAGGAAACCCTCGCCAGTTCTCATATACTGTTCTCTCATAGCTCCAAACTCTTCTTGTCCTGCTGTATCCAGAACTAAAGAAAAAACAACAAATGTAACTGTATCTGTGTTTCCATTTTATAAATGCCTTCCCCACAAGGGCAGGCCCAGTTAATGTGGGTCCTTCAGAGCAAGTCATGCTTAGTGTAATAAAGAAATGGCATTCTCCTCTTAGGACTTTATTCTCAAAGACAAATATATTCTAATGGCAGACAGTTTCAGAGTTATCTTCATCAGTACAAGCTGATTTTTAGTTAGAATACATTAGCATACCAATTACAAGGTTAAAAATATCGAATACATCTAGGCAGATGGAGTCAGATAACCTCTGAAGTCATTTGGATGTTTTAATTTCCTCCACGGAAAGAACTGAAAATGTTATCTGTATATTGAAAACCAAATTGTAGTCTACCCCCCAAATACCATACTTAAAGTGCAGGTGCTAATGTACTTCTTGATCTGTGAATGCAAAAATTGTACACGTTACAAGAATAGGGCTTTCTTTTGTGGCGAGGTGAAATATTTGCCAAGCACAAAACACTATTTGCAAAAGCCTCTCTGCTATAAATCCTCAGCAAGTTAACAAATATTGAAGCTCTTCTTTATTTACTTTATCCATTTTAAGCTTCACCAAAACGTAGTGGCAAGAAAAAAAATCCTTAGATGTTCCAAATTAAAATTAGAGCAGCGGTGAGAGAAAGACAGAACAGCCAGCCTGTTACAGCTATAGACCAGCTCTGACCCAAGACTGCTTGCATTCCTGTATGGCTGTTGGAATTAATTTCCAGGTGGCGACTTCCCAATTATCCAAAAAAGAGAAAAGACATGCACTATCAGACCCCAGGAGCCTCCGCTTCTTATTTACACATGAGCTTTCCAATCTGCTGCCCACAGCTAATCCACAGGTTAGCAACTTCTTCCTTGGACTCTGCAGCACCTGTCTAGCCCCACTTCACCTTCTCCCATTCCCTTCTCCTAGAGCTAATGTAAATCCTTGCAGAGTGGCTTTCATCCTTCTTCCCCACCACTGGATGTATAAAATGCTTGCAGAACTCCAGGATGACGGATGTGTCGTCTTTCTTATGTAGCCATGCTGCTGGCTTAGGCTTCATGCCCCAAGACCCATCTTTTTTTTTTTTTTTTTTTTGCGAAGCAATGGTCTAATATACTCTTTCTTTTTAAAAAAAACTTCCAGGGGTGGCAGTTAAAATTTTTTTGTTTAACAGTAGGAAGAGTTGAAACCTCACATTTTTTCCAAATGTCCCAATAAATACAACTTTAAACAAGTTACAATGACACGACTAGATTCACCAGGGCAAGATCAATCCAATTCCTGTTTTTACATTACATTTACTGAGGAACATTTAAATTGTCTAATATGCAGATCCATCAATCAAAATTTATGAAAGAGATGGGCTTATAGTCAAAATTGTCTAACTCTATTTAACCTAGAAAAACATCAAAGCTTCATTTTTAAAAATATGATTATGTGAACTCTCAAATAAAGGAAGGTTACTTACTATCTAGCCGGGCTGCTCTGTCGTCTATCACGCACTGCTTTGTGTAGGAGTCCTCAATGGTTGGATCATAATCCGTCACAAAATAGGACTGTAAGAAAAATTACCTTATTTTAAAATTTATGTTTATTTGCCTATCCAAGAACCAACGTAACTTTACCAAATCCCATATATCCAGAATTAATCAAAATATTTTCATTATATTAAGGTTGACCTACTATATCAATTCCCCATTAAACCAAGTCTATTCAGAGCAGCTTCCAAGTGGAGAAAAGGAACTAAATGTCTCTGAATTTTTATATCTGAAATATGCAAGACTGTGAAAAGACCAATTGCAGTTTTTTTGTTTTGTTTTGTTTTCAAATTAACTTATATATACCTAAAAATCTACATCTCAAGAAAAACTAGGAAAACACAGTAACTTCTAATTCAGGCCTATTAGCATCAGTCCTAAGAACAAAGCAGTTGGAAACAAACAAAAGGGGACAACACCGACAGGCCTTGAAGACTCCATGTCCCTTTGTCTTTTCTCACACCTTGTCTTAATCCCCATTCAGCTGCCTTGTGTATTATAAGGAACGTGATTTCAGGATTTTTTTCATTTGAAAAAATGAAAGGGATTTCAAGCTTATATTATTTTTTTCTTTTTTCTTTTAACTTCTATTTCCCTCTTCTCTTAGCAAGGCCTCCCAACTGTTGTCTTCTGAAATCATCAGAAGAAAGGACAGCTCAGGAAGCAGAGTGAGAAGGGAAGAATCTTAGCAAATCACTATTAAATGTTTGCATATTACATTTCACAATTTTTAAAACATGGAAACAAGAATCTGAGCATGAGCTTACTTCCCCCTTCGTGCAAAGCCCAGGGCACTAACCAGGACACTGACATTACCATTTTGTTCTGAGTATTTCATTTGCTTTCTCTCTTGACTGACTTCCTCAAAGCCTATTTCCCACTGGCTCATTACAAAAGCTGAAGAATAACCTGGAGGAAGGCAGATTAATGCTGAGAACCAACGCTAAAGGTCTTCAACCATTCTTCTCACAAGGGTTCCTGGGACACAGCATTCTTGTGACAACCCCAGCATGGTGACTTATGCAAACACCAGAAAGCTACTCCGAAGCAGGCACTCTGAATAGGAAAGTAAAGCAACCCCTAGTTTGGGGAGGGCAGGGTTTTACATATTTATTTTATTTTTGAAGGACACTTTCTACATTTACATTTTAGGATTAACTTGAATCACAGAATTCAGTATCCATAATCCTATTTCCCTTTTGATGTTTTCACTTAAATGCATGATTTACTAAACAAAGTCTGTAAAAGAAACATTTACCAACAGGAGCAGCTTTAAGCAGAAAGCCATTTCCATCACCACCACCCCCCTTTAAAAATAAACAGATATTAGAACAATCCTGAGCTCACTTTTGGCACCCACACCTTTTCAAAAAGTAATTACAACTGGCAATAATGTTCTCTGAACCCACTACTCTAAGCAACTTAGAACTGCCGACTTTCTTTCACCAAAGCAAATTGGATAAAGCATGCTATTTATATCTCTTTTAAGAATAATTTCCTGAAACATGTATCGCCACAGCAATCTGATACCTCTTGTCACACTTTCATCTTGTAAAACCTGGATTTCATTGCGTATTCCCAATTTATGCCTAAATATGCTGAAATGTGCCCCACTGTCTCTCCCACTTTGTCTGAAAACATAATGGACAAATATTAAATAATACTTTAATGCCCAGGTCATGAATAATAGCTAGAATTTTTTCAGCATGACACGTTTTGTTTTGTTTTTTTGCACTGTGAGATCAAATTAAAACATTTTTAGAAGACAGTTTAAGGAACTTTGAGGGCCATTAAAATAAACTGTTTGCCCTTTTAGTGGCTCTGGAAGTTTCATATTTCTTTGGACGTCTTAGCTCTTGAAATACAATCTTAATGTAATAATTTTGCCACTTTGCTAATGCTGGCAAGACAAATTAATTGTTGGAATTTCTGGATCCACATTTCATCTTCGTTATATCCTGTTTTCAGAATCTGTCTGGAGAGCCCATCATCTTCTTGCCCCATGTAGAATTTTAGCTTTTTTTTTTTTAGCTGAGCCATCCTGCCACCTGTTGGCAGCTCAGCTCAGGCCGGGACTCAAACCACTGCTGCTCAGAGCTCAAACTCTTGAGCGAGCTCTTAACCAACTGAGCCACTCGGCCAGCCTCGCCATGTAGAATTTTAAAGAGCCATCCTCACTGAAAGCATCTTCCTTCCTCCTACTGATCCATCCTAAGGAACATCACTCAGGGCCTGACTGTCAGAACCAAAGACCCCTTTCCCGCTCAAAAGTCTAATAAGCCACAGGTTAAAAAAAAAATGTCTAAAAAGAATACTCCCCATGTGCAGACAACAAATATAATCGTCCCCTGCCACCCAAAGACATCACATTTTTGTTAATTAAACATGGGGACCAGATATTTGAGGCATCAGATCACCAACAAGAAATCAGGCTGTGGTTGTTGGCCAGTCCTGGATTGAATACTAACTCGGCCACTTTCTAGCTGTGGCACCTGAGGCAAATTACTTCACCTTTCTAACTTTTAGCATCTGTGGTAACAAAACCTGGTAGAGCAGATGAAATGAAGTAATGCATATGAAGTGCCAACGTGCTGATGATTAATAAACATTAACCATAATAATCACTGTATTTTTGTCACATGGTTAGATGGTATTAACTAGTGTTCTATTCGAGTATAAAGACTTGCTAATCCCAGAAACAGCTGTCATTAATTCCAATGCTAGTTATACCACAGACCAACAAAATGTCGTTTTTCAAGATAAAAGCTCCCCGTCTGGGGTTCTGGAAATAGTTCTTGGATATGAGCTGTAATTGCACAGGTATATATACATATGTAAAAATTCATCAGGATGTACATTTAAGGTATGTGCGCTTTTTTGTATGATACAAATTATACCTCTGTAAGTTACATAAATTAACGGTTTTATTAAATGGTTCCTTTGTGGCTTATAGGATTCATGACTTGCTTTACACAGCACGCAAAGCCTTCAAGTTTGATCTATGCTATTCACCAAAGACATTTTTCACTCCCTGAAATCCTTCAGCCAATTGTTCTTGCTCTCTTGATTTCCTTCACTGGCTTGACAATTATTTATAGAGCATCACAGGGACAAGATCCCTACTTTCAGAGCTTACTGCTTTTGGAACATCCAATAACTGAGATGTGACCGGAGACCTGGGGAATGGGGAGTGTTAAATGTATTGGCCGAAGAGCAGAAACAGCACGAATGCCAATACTGTGCTTGTTCAGGAGGCAACAGATTTAAGGGGTTAATACTGCAGTCATGCATAGGAACTATGGGTACATTCATTTAAACATAGGGCCCTAGCAATTTGCCAGCACTCTCCTGAAGTTGAAAAAAGTTACCAACTATAGTCCAGAAAGGATACTCTGTAGCAGAAATTAAGAGAAACAAGAATAGCATTTTCACTGTGAAGGGTAGTAGAGGTTCAGCCAAGGGCAGGCCAGGAGAATGGATTGAAGGGTTCTGAACACACTAAAGCGGGCAGGCTGGGGCTGGGGTGGGGGACACTGTGCTTTCTTGATATCACAGGAAAGGATGCACGGAGAAGGAACCTAGCCACAAAGAAAGGGAATGCCTCCTTTCAAAGGGCAGGATGCCTTCTAGGTAGTAAGAAGGGCAAATGGGCCTAAGACTCTAAGGTTGTTAGGAGCTGTAGAGACAAGTTCAGGATTCGGGAAGGTATCCCATTCAGACAGGGAGATCTATTTCCCCTGATAAAACCTAGTCTAGGTAAGGTTGTCAGAAGCCCTTAGTAACGCAGGAGCATTATACTGCGATAGCAGGAGTATTATTCCTGATTATATGCCACGGGTTGCACAACAAGAGCTCTGCTTGGCCTAAGAAAATTGCCAACTTACCATCTTCCCATTCAAAGAAGCTGTATTAAGGAAGAAAAGAAGGGGGAAGGGAGGAATGAGAATGAGCTGGCGAAACTTCTGCATTTAGAGGACAAATGTGACAACCCACTTTCTCCTGCCACCAAGCTACTGGTGAAAGTGCAGTTCCCACGCACTGCCACAGAGTGGTGCCTGGTCTACACACTGCGACAGGTCATTTATTAGCGATTCTGGGAAACAGTAAATCCAGCACATGGGTTAAGTCCACTACCCTTGCATATAAAAAGGACAGGAGGCTAGATCTAAGGTGCCCCTGGGGAGTTGTTAGCAAAGGTAAACAATGCGTTTCTGAGCACAGCACCATTTTCAAAAGTCTTGGGAGTCCTCTAAAAACACGGGGTGCAGGAAAGGGAGGCGTTTGAGAGACAGCAGGGGAAGGAAATAGATGCAACTGTAGAAAAACCCCAATCTGGGTAATGTGTATACGAGTGTATATTATACTAGTCTATTTTTGCATATATTTGACAATTTTCATATGAAAAACTGTTTAATCTGGTGGCGGCACATAGTACTATAGAAGGGGTTAAATCCAGGGAAGCAAAGGGATGCTTTCACTCTGAGCTGTCACCACTCTACCCAAAACCACCTCACCTAGAAACCTGAATTGTTTTCATTAGAATATTTTCCATTTTTCTTTACATTTTATTTTAATTTTTTACTTTTATTGTCCATCCTTTCCCCTACCCAACTAGAATATAAACCCCATAAGGACAGAGATTTTTGTCCGAGGTGGAGTGGCTTGTGTTTAAAAAGCAAATCATGGGCAGATCCAACAGTAAAATCAGTTTCCAGGCTCTTTGGTCAAAGCTCCTTTTGCTTTACTTGTTCTGCCTTTCTGGAATTAAACACACTCATACTCATCCTCCCCAGTCCTGCTTCCACTGCTCACAAAAAAAGGAAGGGCAGGACCGGCCAAGTGGCTCAGTGGCTCCCTCAAGAGTGTGAGCTCTGAGCAACAGCAGTTCGATGCCCTGCCAGTGCTGAGCTGCTGCGGAGCTGCCAACAGGTGGCAGGATGGCTCAGCTAAAAAAAAGGGAAGGAGGGAAAGAGAGAGGGAGGGAAGGAGGGAGGGAGGGAGGAAAAAAAAGAAATATC